TCAAGGGTTCAGCAAACACCTAGATCCGGCCAAGGACACCACCAGGTGGGTAGTTGCCAGGTGCGTACAACCATATACGACTCAAAATGCAGCTCACATCAGGGTACTGGATAGGCCTCCGTTGAGGGTACCCATCTGATAACTACCCACCCAGGTTCCTTGACCAGGGGATCAATCAATCGGCCAGGCAACTCTACAGATGGAAACCCTGAACCCTGGTAATAAAGTAGGGCACTGTATCAGGTGCCCACTAGCCTTCATTGTAGGTGTAGGGTTTAGGGTTCAGGGCTTAGGGGAAACCAACTCGAGGCCTCTGTCAAAATGGCAGTAACCCTATCTGCTCTTGATTGGGAATAGTCATGACTTTATGCTCCTTACTGCAGTAGAGACAAATGCTACAAAAATCATGTCTCAAAATTGACCCACTCATGGACTCTAAGTAGCTAAGCCTCGGGGACTACACCGGGATTCAATTTAGAAACTCCCCCGGATGGAGAAGCGCAACAATCTCCCATGTGCTCTTGCTCACCAATGATCCGCGTAGTTAAATATGGGTGGTTGTCAAAATTATGGTCCTGTTTTGGGTACCCTAAATATTAGGTTATTAGGTGCCGTACTATGCTGGGGATCCAAAAGAAGGACCATAATTTTGACGACTACCCACATGCATAATTCTGGCAGTCACACAGACGTTGCTCCCGCATAGCCAACGATGGAGCCTGAGTAGTTCGTGATAATGATTTCCTGTCCGTCGCCGCAAAACTCTAGGTCCATTCCCAAAAGCTTGTCCCCAAACCCTACGCCCTGAATTCTAATCCTCTTCCAGGGGCCAGGGCCCCTGCATGTAGCCATCCTCGAAGAACCTCGGGAGGCATAGGTGCACAAAACAATATTTAGGGTTTAGGGTCCTGAATAATTGCCAATAGGATTGTCCTTATAACCTTTATGCAGCTTTAGGATCATTTAGCCTTGATACTACTCTTTGCGTGCAGGGGACTAAACCCTAGACCCCCAACCCTAAACCCTCAACCCCAAACCCTCCCTTCTATGGACTTTGACTTAGTGATTTCGTTTTTGTTGACAATGATCCCGGCCGAGAAGGTTTGGTTGAAGGCCGCTGTTAGCGGTGGCTAAGGGTTTGGGGTTTAGGATTTGGGATTTTGGGTTTAGGGTTTTGGGCTGAGGGCTTGGGGTTCCAAGTTTAGCCTTCCCGGCCCACGTCTCGCCGAGTATAGAGACAAAAACCTCCAATACTCGAATCAGACCCCTGGCCACCAGCATAGGCTCACCAGAGCATC